TATATATTTTTTTTTTTTTTTAGGGCTGGGGAATTGGGGGGAAAAAAAGGTATTATACTTGGAACTTGACAGGCTTCTGGAAGACAGAGGGGCCACCAGAGGACTTGTACTCTGCTCGGAAACTGTTCTGAGACACAACGCTGTGACCGAGGGAAGGGATCTGGAGATGGGGAAAAAAAACAAAAAAACAAAAAACAAATGTTGTTTTCCACGCTTCAACGCCACAATCGACGCCAATTGTTTTGAATAACTGAGGCTCATCTCAACGCGATTGTACTTACCGAAAGAAATGCATGAACAATGTCCGCCTTAATCGAGCTGAGGGGTTTGTCTCGAATTAAAACAAAGATCTGCTCCTCTTTCTCCAGGCTGATGAAATTGCCAAACCACGACCTCTTTGCCAGTCTGTCAACAATCGTTACATGCGCACATTAGCTCAACAGCAAAACTGGATGGAATCAGAATACGAGTTATTTGAATATTTAGCCTTGTGCAAACGAGCTAGCGGGCGCAATGATGATGACGGAGACGATTTATGATTTCAGGAGTGAGGATCAAACTGGGAGCCATTCACATTAATCCATACGTCGGTCTCCCACGTATCCATTTCGGTGGACGGAAAAAGATGGAGCCTATCCCAGCTCACGGCGAGCGAAAGGCAGACTAAACTCCGGCAAACAATCGATACAGGCACTTGATAAATCAATCTGAACACGGTAAAAGTTCAACTCATGCACATCTCACTGTGTCTAGATTTCATTCTAGCTAACGGCTAACGAAACGCCGAAGTTTACCACCTCGGCAAATATGATTAAATAACAAGAAATAGAATGATTTTTGGATTTAGAAATGACCGGCAGCTGTCCCGCTGCTATGATGACATCCGACAATGATGTCAGACTCAGCCTAATCTTGAGTCATGAAGACAAAAGTGAGAAGAAGATGTTCTTACTCTGGACTGGACTCTGGAGTTAAACTGGACATGTCCTCTGATGTTGGGACTACACAGAATCAACAGAGAGACACAAAAGAGAACGGGTAGGTCAGGGGCAGCGGATTTCAATGGAAAAACTCCTCATCATGGATCAAGCCCCAATTTCGGAATCGAGAGTGAATGCAACCGCCCATTGGTTGCAGCGGAGTATTAGCGCAAAGGTGCTATGCAGCAGATGAGCAGTCTCCCGGTGTGAAGATAAAAGCATGTTCTCCCACCTTGGAGTTTGCGCCGATGGAAGCGCGGCGAGCCCAGCAGGTTGTTTTTGAACGAGTTGAGCCTTGTTCGCCAGTGGGCGGAGCTCGAGGAGGCCAGGCCGCCGCTGCTACCCGGACTGGAGGGTGGCGTCAGGGACAGAGAAGCGCCCCCGGACCCGTCCCCTCTGGGAGAAGAGGACGAGGAGGAAGAGGAGGGAGGGGTGGTGGAGCAAGGGTGTTGGATTTGGTGCACGGGCGTGCCCGAAGGGGTGGGGAGAGGTGAGCCTTGCGGCGTGACCTGCGACACAGGAGGAGTGGCGGCAGAGGAGTTAGAGGACGAGTGGGCGTTCTTGGACTTGAAGACAGACGGAGAGGGAAAGTTGAAAAAGCGAGGGATGGGAGAGAGCAGCGGAGAGGGGGATGGTGATGGAGTGCGAGGGGTCTGCAGCGGGAGGGACTTCATGGAGTTGAGATGAGGACGGTCAGTGGGGCCTTTTGA